TCCCCAAAATGATGACGATCTACCCGATGGGCATGCTGGATCCCCTCGTACAATAACTCTCTGATCTCTGCAAGGGCCTGCAGACCAAGCTGTCCATCACGTCTGAAAATGGCGTCCTCAGCCAAGTGATATGACCTCCCAGCTCGAACCACCTGTAAAAAAAATAGATATATTAGGCTATAGTTGACTGAAAATAATCAATTATGATATTAACAATTATCGGACATATAGTACGATACTCACCAATGCCTCGAGAGAAGGCCCAACTCCCTGATATTCGGCCTCGGACAGGTGGCTCGGATTACCGACAAGTAGGTGTGTATGTCGCCGATACCACAACATGTAAGGGTCGGGAGAGGGGAGGACCCTATCGCTCCAGTCAGCTTGTACAATAGTGTCGCGACGGGCATCCCACAACTGTATGTATCGCATATGATGCAGACTCCAGTCAGTGCTGGCTTGGCCACGTCTATCCGTCGCATGCAACCGCCACTCGGTGTCACACCGATCCGGCACGGCCTGGACCCGACCAAACTGTCGGAGGACACGATCAGGGAGATGCCACTCAACCACGTCATAACAAATGAGTGGTACTCTCGCCATCCATATATCCTCACCTAGGCGGCAGTAGTCTGGGAGCGTGTGGAGGACATCAGCATAAGGCTGCCAGATAAACTACAATAACGACAAGTCTATTAAAAATCGCTCATAAACATATACAGTCCATATGACAATTAAAATGTAGGTATTTAAATTTGATACCTCGCCGTCTATCATCCGGTCAAGCTGGTCTCTATACACAACCACTACGTGGATCGATACGACCTCGTGGCTCATGTCAACCCTCCACCAGCTACCTCGAGGTCCGGCCGGCATCTGCATGTCTCCCTGCCCGATGGGAACCTCACCAGGACCAACTAGTTGTTGCCTAGACGGGGCAATGCGAATCAATCTCTCCCACGCCCAAATCTGCAATAGTTTGAACGCAATTACAATACTGAAATATGCCATACAATATGAATTGACATGTAATAAAATTCTTACTAACCTGTAGCAAGACAAGGGGTCCTCCGATCTGAGTCACACCCACCTGAGTGGCTCGACATAACATCCTATACAAGCATGCCAAAGCCGCGGCGCCCCAGCTGTACTGGCCGATGACGTCAATGTCTCTCAACAGTGGCAAATACATCAGCTTGAGCAGGTTCTGTGACTTATCAAGGAGAAGTACACCCCCAATAAGCCACAGAATATATGCTCGCGCATGCTGCTGTACTAACTCATCTGCAGCATCATCTGGAAAATCGCCCTGAAAATGCTCCGACAGCCACCTCACCCTCACTCTACCTGCCTGTAAGTCTGCAGGTGTAGGTGCTACTCCCAATAGCTCAGCACATAGCGCTATCCACTGCTCCCTCGTCAATGATAGGTCAAGTCCAGTAACTGCTCGCCCATCAATCCGTAGACCGTATAGGACAGATACGTCCGAATATATTTTTTGAATTGAAAAAAATAAACGTATTATTCATATATATTTTTTAGTTTTTAAATGTAACTCTAAAAATAATAAATAGAAAATATGATATATGCTGGTTGGTTTTTGTTTTCAAAAACATATGTAGATGTAACAATACAGAGATATTCAATCTCTACTACTGCTCTGTTCATCGCTTTGATGGTTTGAATTGTTATTATATTTTAAGAATCACAGATTGTAATACTTTATGGGGATGAATCATGCTGTGATTGTAATATATGGATGAGGCATGCAGTGATCGTGATATTCTAAAGTTTCATACTTTTTTTCTTTGGATAAGGCATACAGTGATTGTAATACTTTTTTAAGTCATTGACTGTACTACTTTCTTTTTCTTTTTTTTCTTTTTTTTTGTTTGAGGAAGTGCACAAGTTGAATTATGTTGAAAATTTATATAATTTTAAACCGCCAAACCGATTCGCATCCATCCGCCAAACCGCCAATCCGCTCAATCCACATCCGCTAGATTGGCGGACGGATGCGGATTGATTTTCTTCAATCCGCCAATCTGGCGGACGGATGGCGGATTGGAGGTTCTGTGGCCGCAATCGACCCGCGCCCACCCCTAGCGGCGCCCCAGCTGTACTGGCCGATGACGTCAATGTCTCTCAACAGTGGCAAATACATCAACTTGAGCAGGTTCTGTGACTTATCAGGGAGAACTACCCCCCCAATAAGCCACAGAATATATGCTCGCACATGCTGCTGTACTAACTCATCTGCAGCATCATTTAGAAAATCACCCTGAAAATGCTCCGACAGCCACCTCATCCTCACTTTACCTGCTTGTAAGTCTGCAGGTGTAGGTGCTACTCCCAATAGCTCAGCACATAGCGCTATCCACTGCTCCGTCGTCAATGATGGGTCAAGTCCAGTAACTGCTCGCCCATCAATCCGTAGACCGTATAGGACAGATACGTCCTGCAATGTGACGGTGGCCTCACCGGTCGGGAAATGAAATGTATGAGTCTCTGTGCGCCATCTCTCGACGAGAGCAGTAATGAGTGGGTGGTCCAGTCTGATATGGCCTATACGATATACACCATAGAATCCCGCGCGTAGTAGACACTGCAAGACTCTATGGTCCAATGGACGATCCCACAGGCCGGAATCTCCCCGTCGGCATGCCACCACGGTGCGTGACTGGTCCTGCATAACAGAATGAGTATTTTAAATTATAGCATTATCAAGGAAATCAAAAACAAAATCCAGTGTATTTTCATTGTACGCGTAAAGTCCAATAAACGTTATTGCATACCGGGTGCGTGACTGGTCCTGCATAACAGAATGAGTATTTTAAATTATAGCATTATCAAGGAAATGAAAAACAAAATACAGTGTATTTTCATTGTACGTCTAAAGTCCAACAAACGTTATTGCATACCGGGTCCTCCCATATACTGTCAGCCCTATGTGGATGACTCAAAAGGGGGACCTCATCAGGTAGATGTGCCATGAAGCCTGTACAGTTGAAAAACAAATACATTTTGAAAAACTGTATTGGTGAGCATGTAGTTTACCTATATCAATTAAGCTCAAATTATTATGTACATGACGACTTGGAAAATAAATGTGGTCGATTATTTCAAAAGTATAAATTTGTGTGCCATTAACATGGAAGCAATTAACTAAAATCAAAATTTTGCATATTATGTGCCATTAAATATGATAAGCAATTCAACATAACCTATCGTTATCTATGCTTCGGACTAATATAAAAATCTTTTACAAAGTCATTTTACGATCTCAGTTACATAAGCTTAATAATGACCAATAACATGTGGATAGTTTTTGTATGTCAATATTTACAAACAAAATGGAATGATCATTTTTTTTTTCAAAACTTCATTATTGATTTTGGCATATTTGACATAACCTCATTATTGATTTTGACATATTTGACAAAATTCGTTACATTTATGGCATATTCGACAACTTCATTATTGATTTTGTAATTTTTGTTTTGCAATAGAGTAAAAAATTTGTAAATTACGTACATATAATTCATAAATTCTAAATGTACAAAATGCTTGAATCAGTCGAAATATTAAAATCTTAAAATGAAAGAAGAACTATGTGATTTTAATTAAAATTCTGTAATAAACATTTTGAATGAAGTAGAGAATAAAAACTATGATAGTTGTAAATTTTGTCAAGCAAATAAAACAATTACAATATATAAAGAATTAAACAACAGAAATGATCTATTACAAATAAAAAATGTTCTATTAAATGTATGACCCCGTTTACAAATAATGAATTACAAAAGAAAAGAAAATGATCTATTACAAATAAAGAATTACAAAAAGATCTATTACAATATGTAAGTATTACATAGTCTTCATCGACCAAGTCGCGCCGGACATGTTCGCCTGTCATGACCTGTCTGTTGGCACTCACTGCAACGAGAGGTCAAACGCCTATCTGATATGTCCATCTCATTTGGAATACGAGACATAGATGCACGACCCCGTTTCACTTGTCGCAGACGCAGTACATTAGGCATTAAAGTCCACTGCGGATCAGCCCAATAATCTTGATGCGGTATTGGATTGAATTTAGTTTCCCAAACCCTAATGTATACAGGAAGCCTATATACTGGATCAACGTACTCGAATGGATTGTCACCGCATTCAGACATTACAGCGAGCATATGAGAACATGGATAGTGTCGTATCTCATATTTCCCACAACTGCACGTGGGTTGATTCATCCGCACAATTTGTGTACTGCGACCTCGTCCATGGCGAAAAGATGTTTTCACCTCAAACACGCGGCGTGGCCTATAAAAAAATTGTAATAGAAACTAATGAAGTTCATGTTTTTAGGTGTAGTTAAATTGACAACATAATAACAATAATTTAATTTATATTACAAACTAACCTGTTATATGATATCAACTTGAAAGTATTTGCCCTTGCGATGCCATCCTCAATAGTTTTTTGCATCTGTCTAGGGTATTGGAACTCATTTCGTACATCTAGTTCAGCTTGGGCTCCCATCTCGTCAAAATAGTTTACAAGCCGCCGAAATGTAAATTCAACCATAGCTGAGATAGGTAAGTTCCTTGCACCTTTCAAGACGCTATTGAAGCACTCTGCATCATTGCTAGTCAATACCCCCCACCGATGTCCACCGTCATACGAAATGGCCCACTCCTCAGGATTCATCTTGTAAACCCAAGTGATGGCTTCTTGGTCAATAGCATGTATTTGTTGTAAGTAACCATTACACTTCCATCGTTGATGAGCACTTCCTGCTTTCCATAGAAGTTGTTAGTTGGATGTGATGTTTGTGAGAGAAAAAGTGAAATGATTATGGGATTTGATGTGATATTTTGTTTGGATTGATTTTTTTTGGTTTTATAAAATATTTGTCTTATAGTGAAAAAAAATAAAAAAAATAAAAGCTCAAAAACCAACTTACCAAACACCGCCATAGTGACATCATAAAAAATAAGGTCTTTTCCCAATATAAGCCTTTTTTACATTGCATTTCCAAAACTAGGCCAACTTCTGACGGAATTCCAAAACTAAGTTAAAGCGCCATTACTATTCGCGCTTTTACTGTTAGGAGCGCAAAAGTAGATGAACAGGAAAATCGCTATTACAAATAGCGACTTTGATTAAGAAGTCGCTGTTACGAATAGCGCTTCTAGCGTTAGTTTTTTTCCCAATAAAAACGCTGTTCTTAACAGCCCTTTTTACACAAAATTTTGTTGCCAAAAAAACGCTATTGCTAATAGCGATTTTAACAAAAATTGTTTGCAGAAAAAACGCTATTTCTAATAGCGATTTCAGTTCAAATTTTGTTGCCAAAAAAACGCTATTGGTAATAGCGATTTTAATAGAAATTTTTTTTTTTCGCCCAGCGTTTTTAACATAAACTTTGTTGGAATAAAACGCTATTTTCAAGATAAAACAAAAGAAAAAAACATAAAACATATTTTAAAAAATATATTTACACTGTATATTTTAGTACTTGGCTTTACTAAAGCAATTATCATGTTAAAATATGTTTTTTTTTTTCTTTTGTTTTTGTTTAGAATGTGTAATTCATAAATTTTACATAATATGAAAAAAAACCTCTTTTCATATATTAATTTTACATACTATTTTTCATATATATAATTTCAAAATCATATTCATGTAGATATTATTAAGCCAATCATGTTCATTTATTTGGCTTTACTGAAGCCGTTGACATGTTACATTTTTCATTTTTTCTTTTGTCTTTGTTTTGATTTAGAAAATGTAATTAAAAAAATTTTTTCGTCTTCACTAAAGTTGTTTTCATGTAAATATTTTTTTTGCTTATTGTTTTGTGTAATTAATAATTTTTTTTTTCGTTTTACTAAAGTCGTTTTCATGTAATTTTTTTTTTCTTTTGTCTTTGTTTTGGGTTGGAAGGTGTTATTTAGAAAATTATTTTGGCTTTACGAAAGCCGTTTTCATTTAAACATACATATATATTTATTCTTTTGTTTTGGGTTAGAAGGTGAGAATGTAATTCAGAAAATCAGTTTAGTAAACCAGTTTAGTAAAACCGTTTTGTACCCGTTTTCATTTATAAAATTTATTTTTTTGTATCGTCTTTGTTATGGGTTAGAATGTGATATGCATGCTGTACAGTTCAAAGCACACCCACACACTGTGCAACTCGACGAGCAACGACGAAGGGTGAGACACGAAGACCACCGCAGAGTAGGCCAAGAAGACAAAGGCCACAGCGAGAGCTCCTAAAATAAATTTTCTCAACATTTTTGTAATAATACTTAATGCATAATATACGAAGTCAGTACTTTACAAAATACTCATACGGGTATGAAAACAACATAACTGAAGTTGCAAATGTAATAGTTTTCAGTTACATAGGTAGTACAGACATAATTCTCCCACAAAAATACATTATGGACACCATGAACTGAACACACATTACATACATCCTGGACACTCTTAACTGAACACACAATACATAAACATAACAGTTAGATAGACAAACACCTAATTCATGACCTAATATTGCATATTAATAGCCGTAACATTTGACAGACACAATACATAAACATAAACTTAAACATAAACATAACATAACATAACAGTTATACTTACTCTAACACAGACATTACATATTAATGCAAGTTGTTATATTGCCGAAGTGTAGACATTAACACCTAATTCGCGCTTAAATCGGCAGGTGGCTCAGAGTCTGAACAATCCGAAAGCTCAGCGTCAGAGACAAGTTCAGGATCTTCCATGATAGCCTTGATAGCCGCAACATTTGGTTCTGTTTTGTTCTTCTGGGCATCCTTCTTAAGTATGAGTAGCTGCATATCGCGGGTCAATCTATGACCCATTTGAGAAATCTCACGTTGTAGTGTTTGACATAGTCGATCAACATTATCAGGATCTTCCTTTTGGATCTCAACAGAACGTGCTTTTGGCACCTTCAGTCGTCTTTCCCGACATAATCTTTCGTTTTGCACTCGCTCTATAAATAGTGCGGGCCACTTAAGAAGTCTAGCCTTTGCATAACCATATCCTGTTTGATTTTCTGATGGATCCTCCACCAAACCACATGGATCTCGATAGTACTTGGGCATGACAAAATGTCGCTTATCCATCAAAGTGCCAATTTTTTTTTTGGTATTACAAAACACATGCTTACCCATCAAAGTGTCAATTTTTTTTCCCTTCTTACGTACGAAATTGCTATGGACTATTAATTAAAATAATTTATTACTCTTTTCATGCATATATGTCTGCACACCTCTATGGACAGAATAATTATGATATTTGCTTCCGCCAACCCCTAATTTTGTAAATCTATTTAAGTGGCCTTCGGTAATCTTAGGATTACTGGCCGGTCATACCTATAGTAGCGGGTTTGGGTCGTGATAGAGTGGTATCAGAGCACGAGTTATACCGTACACATGAGTCCATATAAGCTACAAGATGTCCTAGAAAGAATTAGGGGCATTACATCAGCATGTGTTAGTGTATGTGAAATTATACGACATGTCTGAAACAATTAGACATGAAATGAAATTGAGCATTGTCAAAACTATAAACGAGCTATTTGCCTATGTTTATTAGTGCTCTATTTACCTATAGCAAATGGAGAGAACAAGAAGTGATGACGTGATTGAATCCTTTGATGCCAGAATGGAAAGAATGTTAGAAGCTTTAACCAAGTCCATGAGATAACAACAGAGACAACAACTACCTCTTTCGCCTTCTTCAGTGCAAGTGGAACCGATAATTAATAACATTATCGGGTTGACTCAGAAATTTAACAAGATGAAACCTCTGACTTTTCTAGGTGTTATTGAGCTACTGAAAGTTGAAACCTGGATACTAGAAACTGAAAAATTATTTGAAATGTTTCCATGTTGGATCATTTTGGATCATTTTGGATCGTTCTGAAAAGTAAGAAAACCTGATTTTGGATCATTTTGGATCGTTCTGAAAAGTAAGAAAAAAATTAAATTTATTTACTCCTTTTTTTTCTTACACATACAAAAACAAAAAAATAATTACGGAGATAATTTATAATGGCAAAAAATTAGAGATAATTAAATTGAAGTTGGTGGTTAAATGTATGGACTATATTTTGAATAGTTATCCGTGTGAATCTATCGGGCCATCCGTACCAATTATTTGGTATTACAAAACACATGCTTACCCATCAAAGTGTCAATTTTTTTTTTCCCTTCTTACGTACGAAATTGCTATGGACTATTAATTAAAATAATTTATTACTCTTTTCATGCATATATTGTAACTACTCTAATAATGACTTCTAATTATACAAACATGAATAAACATTATTAGAACATAATGTTTAGATTTTCCTTTTCAATGGTAGTGGACAATCACAAAGTGAAAAAGGCGATAAGTCAGCTCGTTCAATACCCATTTCAAAACATATAAGCTACAAGATGTCCTAGAAAGAATTAGGGGCATTACATTAGCGTGTGTTAGTGTATGTGAAATTATACGACATGTCTGAAACAATTAGACATGAAATGAAATTGAGCATTGTCAAAACTATAAACGAGCTATTTGCCTATGTTTATTAATGCTCTATTTGCCTATTGCAAATGGAGAGAACAAGAAGTGATGATGTGATTGAATCCTTTGATGCTAGAAACTGAAAAATTATTTGAAGTGTTTCCATGTTGGATCATTTTGGATCGTTCTGAAAAGTAAGAAAACCTGATTTTGGATCATTTTGGATCGTTCTGAAAAGTAAGAAAAAAATTAAATTTATTTACTCCTTTTTTTTCTTACACATACAAAAACAAAAAAATAATTACAGAGATAATTTATAATGGCCAAAAATTAGAGATAATTAAATTGAAGTTGGTGGTTAAATGTATGGACTACATTTTGGATAGTTATCCATGTGAATCTATCGGGCCATCAGTACCAATTATTTGGTATTACAAAACACATGCTTACCCATCAAAGTGCCAATTTTTTTTTCCCTTCTTACGTACGAAATTGCTATGGACTATTAATTAAAATAATTTATTACTCTTTTCATGCATATATGTCTGCACATCTCTATGGACAGAATAATTATGATATTTGCTTCCGCCAACCCCTAATTTTGTAACTCTATTTAAGTGGCCTTCGGTAATCTTAGGATTACTGGCCGGTCATACCTATAGTAGCGGGTTTGGGTCATGATAGAGTGGTATCAGAGCACGCCAGGGTTGAAGGAACTGTAGAGGTGAAACATTAATTCAATTTGTATTTTGTCAACTATATATTTGTGTCTCAACTTGATTATTACTGTTTATTTTCTCATTTTTTTCACTTATTTTTATTCGTATAACAGAACAGCTGAGATTTCATCTATACGTGGAGTTATATATTGTGTCTCCTTTACTTCCTATGTGAAGACTCTTATCTTTTCAACGTGAATGTTTTTTGTTGTCATTGCTCTATTGTCTTAATCTAAAAAACACATAACAAGAAGTATACTTGTTGTCTTAATTCTTTCGAATTAGTGGCGAAAAATAAAATAGGTTGAGAGATATTTAGTAGAGGGTGACGCGATTGATTTGGACAATATAAAATACAGGGTGCAAACATTGAGAGAGATTTTTTTAACCTGGTGATGTAATTGTTCAGATTTATGTAAAATATAAGTTAATTTGATTTGCTCCA